AAATGTTTCATTTTGATTAGGGAACAGGCAAAGCTATTTATCTTTTGGGGCAGGTGAGTACCAGAGGCCTCATGTTGAATTGGTGCTATATTGGTCAAGGTCTAATGTGCAGCATGTTTTGGCATTGGTGGATACAGGCACAGAATTTAGCCTGATATATGGCAATCCAGATAAGTTTCCAGGGGCCACAGTTCATATAGATGGATATGGAGGACATATTATTGAAGCCAAAGCCGTGTCACTGCCATTGAGCATAGGACAATTTCCCCTATGTGTGTATACTGTATATGTATCCCCAGTAGCTGAATACATCTTGGGTATAGATGTACTTTATGGTTTGCACCTGCAAACAACAGTTGGAGAGTTTCAGCTATGAATATGGACAGTAAAGCCTGTGTTATGGGGATATGCTATGTATGATCCACAGGTGTTACCCAAGCCAAGACATGTAGTTAATGTAAAGCAAGGATGACATGCAGAGAGAGGTGCCACCATATTGGAGTTAGAGAAAGTTGGCATTATTCATCTGACTAAAAGCCCATTTAATGCTCCAGTATGGTAAGTGAACAAACCTAATTGTATGTGGAGAATGACTGTAGACTATCAAGAACTAAGCAAAGTAGTGCCTCCTTTGCATGCAGCCATGCTTTTGGTTCATGACTTGATGGGTAAGCTGACAACTCAGCTGGGAACTTATCATGTATCGGACCTTGCAAATGCTTTCTTCTCTATTCCAATCTCAGCTGATAGCCAAGATCAGTTCACCTTTACCTGGAAAGGGATACGGTGGACCTTTCAAGTACTGCCCCAAGGTTATCTGCATAGCCCAACTGTCTGTCATGGTTTAGTGGCTGGGGAACTAGCCAAGAGGACAAGGCCCAGCACAGTTACAATGTTTCATTACATTGATGATGTGTTGTTAACCTCTGATTCTCTAGCAAATTTAACTCAGAAAGCTCCAATGCTGCTAAGCCATTTGGAACAATGTGGGTGGGCCATGAACACAGCCAAAGTGCAAAGACCTGGACTGTCAGTCAAATTCTTAGGAGTGGTCTGGTTGGGTAAAAGGAGGGTCATCCCAGAAGCTATTGTAGACAAGATACAGACATACCCTCGACCCACAACTGTAGCTCAGCTACAGAAATATTTGGGGATTCTGTGGTATTGGAGAGCTTTTGTACCCCATACAGCTCAAATGGCATGCCCAATGTATGCATTAATAAAGGACCCCCCTGGGATTGGACTGAGGAAGTAGAACCGGCTTTTAGGCTACAAAGAGGGCAATACAGTGAGTACAGGCTTTACAAGTGGCTGATCCCAATAAGCCTTTTGAATTAGATGTACATAAAACCCAGGAGGGGTTAGGATGGGGTTTGTGGCAGAGACAAGACCGATTCCAAACACCTGCATGATTCTGGTCTCAGCTCAGGAAGGATGCTGAAGTATGCTATTCTCTGATAGAAAAACAGCTACAGCTAGCAGCTGTATATACTGCCTTGATGGACACTGAAGCTATCACAGGAACTGCCAAAGTCCTAGTAAGGACAGCATATCTCACACTAGGTTGGCTGCGCATGTGGGCAACCAGCCCTAAAAACAGGTGTAGCTCAGACTCCCACTGTGTCTGAATGGGGAGCATATATAGAACAAAGGAACACTGTGTCAACGAGTCCTCTGTCCAAAGAACTGCAAGTTGTGCTAGGCGTGGTTGTGGAGGAAACTTTGCCATAATTGTTACCCATGGAGGTGGAGGCCACACCTTTCCATGAGGAACAGGGACCTATCACAGAACAAGCTTGGTATACAGATGGCTCTATCATGGGACCTTCAGCATCATGGGCAGCTGTTGCTGTCCAGCCCTTAACAGATACTATGTGGTATGAAAATGGCACAGGGCAAAGCAGTCAATGGGCAGAATTGAGATCTGTTTGGATGGTGATAAAAAATGAGCCTGGGCCATTAACCATCTCTACTGACAGCTGGGCTGTGTACAAAGCTTTAACTTTTTGGATTTCTACTTAGAAGTATCAACAGTGGATGGTAGGCCACTGACCCCCGTGGGGACAAGCCATGTGGCAAGAGTTATGAGAACTGGGCAAAGATGGCTAGAGAGAGCCCCAGCTGCAGAGGTAGCCCAGTGATTACATTGACGAATGAAGCATGCTGGCAGCAAATCCATGTGGATGGAGTCTCAAAAATGGGCCTTACCTGCAGACTTGGAAGATGTAGTGAATTTCTGTTGTGCTTTTTCAGAATGTGCTCAATAGAGTCCACATCCCCAGCTGGTGCCCCATACAGACGGGCAAATAACTTGAGGAAGGGTGCCCCTGGATTGATGGCAAGTGGACTTTGTCAGACCACTGCTAAGGTCGAAGAATTTCAGATACATCTTCACTGCTGTTTATACAGCTACTGGTCTTCTCTTTGTTTATCCTTGTAAGGCCTCAGACAGTGTAAACACCATTAAGGCATTGAATAGCCTTGAGGCCCTGTATGACCTTCCTGTAGTCACACAGTGTGACAGTGAACCCACTTTACTGGACATGAGGTTCAGAGGTGGGCTTCCCTGTTGTTTATTCAGTGGAAGTTGCATGTGCCATATCATCCCCAGGCAGCAGGGATGATTGAGGAATACAATGGTCTCCTAAAACAGGAGCTAAGGCTATCTGCCCAACCCCCGTCCCTGAAGGGGTGGACACGGCGGTTATGGCCAACAGTCAGGATTCTAAATAAGAGACCCTGCAAGCGCGGGCCCTCTCCAGTGGAAGATCTGTTGCATGGGGCTGCAGCACATAAACAAGGGCAAATCACTACTAGAGATGCGCTTTTGGCAAGAATGGAAATATTCTCTTACCAGCCCCAACCTGTTTACTACTAGAACAGACAGTACGATGGGAATGGCCTTGGAGAATAGAAGCCCCCCATATATGCTGGGTAGGCCTAATAGGACCTAAGGGAAAAGGATTAGTAGACGATTTGGAAATTTCACCTTGGATGATAAGTACCTGGAGTAATCCAGTAAAGGTAACATGGCCTGGAACAGATGAGCGCTCTATTCCTAAGGGCACGTTTATATTGTCATTATGGCCAAGTATGAGTTCCCCTGTAGTGTTACATGTAGAACCTACAGATCCAACAGTGTTAGCAGATAATGTATGCTATCATAAACAAGATGCTTATTCATGCAACCATCTTTCCCAGGATGGCAATCTGGCATGTGTCTTACCAGAGATGCAAGAGTTCTCCCTATTGGTACCAATAACCCTTCTGTCTTTTCACCCATAGTGTTCTGGTTGTGGGCACCAGAGTTGACTGGGTACATCATACGTTCGTGTGACCAATGTGTCTGCTTATTGAATATGCACTGAAGTTCACACCAGTGATGACTACTAACTGGGCATGTGTGGGTAATTGTTGAAAGGACAGAACTATGGTACAAGTCTAAGGCATATTGGACAGACAATAGGTTATATGAATATAAGGGTCATTTGTCCTAGCTAAGGGAACATTCCAGAAGATTCTGAACCATGGATTATATGGTAAGGGACCCTGAAGCAGTGGATTATTGGGAAAATATAAGAAAATGGTCAGGGCCCCTCAGATGTTCAAAATCTTGCCGAGCATTTGCTGTAAATACCCTCAGGTGTTCCTTTTTACTACTTTTTTATTTATTTATTTATTTTTTATTTTTATTTTGTCAATATACAATGTAGTTAGTTATTGTGTCCCATCACCAAAACCTCCCTCCCTCCTCCCTCTCCCCCCTCCCACCCAGATGTGTCCCCTCCATTTTCTCGTTGTAAGAGCTTCAAAAAAAAAAGAAAAAGAAAAAAGTTGAGGTTGTCAATGTAATTGCATCTGGGCACCCAGGGTCTTGGGTTATGGACCTGAGTATAAAGGACTAACAGGTCTGATCTACAGTGCTTCTCAGAACTCTCAGAGAAGCCGCTAGGATGCCTGTTCCTAGCTCTGAATAAAGCCTATTAATCTTTTACCCATGGCTCCAAGGACCTTTTTCCTACTACCCAGCTGGTACACCTGTGTGTGGAGGGTTTGTGACTCAGTCTGTGCAACAGACTTGAGTAGTCTGTGAGCCCTAGCCCTAGCTCTACAGATGGCGATATCAGGGAAATGTGTGTGAGGGATAATTTGGGGACATCAGAGAGTGGGCAGGGATTAGGACTTTGTCTATCTGGTTTTCATTATCTATGTGGACTATTCCCAAGGAAGCTGAGAGATACATCTTAGGACAGTTCCCAAGCCTACTTTGACAGATGCAGACCAAAAATTCAGCCTAGCAGGTCTCTGGTGGGATTGATCACTGTGCTTGTCACCCTGAATTGTGTACATGGAAACATGAGAGCTGTGTCTGGCCCTCAAGCAACTGCTTCTCTATCTGGGACACTGAAGGATGGACAGAGAGTGGGACAAATCCTGAACATCAGTGTCCATGGTGTGGATGAGGATCCAGAGGCTTTACTATCCCAGGGAGGACAGAGACCCTGTGGGCTGAGGTCATGGAGGGTGATTATAACAATGATGGGATGTGGGCTTGGCTGAGAAAAAAGGCCCATTTCTGGACAGTTTGCATCTGGACTTAGGTAAACTTTAGGGAAAAATATTCTTGATCCAAGGAACATAAGAATCCTTACAATGATTTCTGTGTCAGGAAAGAGAACAGGTCATGTTAAAACCTGAGGGGGAAAAATGTCCCCAGTGAATGGAAACATCTTATCTACAAATGAGGAAAGTTACTTCACTCTGTGTTGCTTGAGTGAGAACATGAGAAATTAGAGTCACAAAGAACAAAGCAGGAAATGACCCTGTGGGCATCTGGGAGTCAGCAGAGCAGAGGAAACCTCAGATCCCAAGAGGAGCCCCCCATCCCCTCTCTGCACCTGCTCCATGGGGCACAGGAGCTGGGTGGGCCTTGAGCGCCCCCTGCAGCCCAGATGCCTCCTGTATCCTGCAGGGAGGTTTGTGTCTGGGCTCACACTAACTTCCTGTCACTGTGTCTCTAGCACAGTAATACACGCCTGTGTCCTCGTCGGTCACAGAGCTCAGCTGCAGGGAGAACTGATTCTTGGACGTGTCTCTGGTGACGGAGATGCGGCTCTTGATCAACGGGTTATAATATGTGCTTCCACCATAACTGATGCGTCCCATCCACTCGAGCTCCTTCCCTGAGAGTGGTGGATCCAGCTCCAGTAGGAATTACTGGTTGTGATGGAGTCACCAGAGACGATGCAGGTGAGGGAGAGGGTCTGCGAGGGCTTCACCAGTCCTGGGCCCGACTCCTGCAGCTGCACCTCAGACAGGACACCTGGTGACAAGGAGAATCAATCACTGTCAGTCATGTGCAGTCATGACCATCCCACAGACCTGTGCCTGACATCTGACAAACTCACATTTGGAAGTTGTCACCAGGTAAAGGAGAAGACCCCACAGTCTCATCTTCAGTTAGATCTCAACTCTGCCTTTCACAGAGACCTGAGCCCTGTCTGAGGACAGACCTGTGAGCTTCCATCACCCAAGCATCCACATTTACACTAGAGCTTGAAGGAAAATTTGCATGTTGGGAGCTGTGTTCTTATAAGTGGTTATAAACTTAGGTGAGAAACTTTCTAATTTTTTAAGTGCCTGTATAGTTTCGTTTTTCTTAAAATTATTTAAAATGCAATTATGGAATAGGAGAGAACCTGGTGAGTTTGAAATAACCGAAATGTGTCCCTAGCTTTCTGAGCCCAGATCTACCTTCCTTCAACTCCCATCTTCTGGGTTGTCTTGGTGCAGCCCAACTCTGCGCCATAAACCCAGGCTCTGGCTCTTGCTTCCCAGCACTGATCCCAGCAGAACCCCTGCTTTCTTTCCCTGTACCCTGTCCTGTCATGTGGTTCTCATCACACCTGAGAGCTTTTTACATTGTTACATTGTTGCTGTTCTATGAGTTTCAAGCCTACCTTGAGCTCTGTCCACCCTCTGATACAAGACACAGCACATGGGAACCCACAGGGACTCTTCAAAAAATGATGCCTTGTGCGTTACTCAGGAAACTGATTCTAAGTATTTCGGAAAGAGCAAAAGACTATTAAATGCCCCTGTCACAGAGTAAGTCCTGTGCATTTGTAGTGTAAATTTTTCCTATCTACATTCAGTTCTCATCCAAATTTTATGGATGTTAATCCTTCATTTAAACCTCTAATTTCATCAGTTATCCCTGATTTTTAAAGAAATCCTTAAAGCTACTCAATTATAATGGTAAGCATTCAAGCAGTAAAACCATCCAGAGCATATTTTTTTTTTCTTTTTTTTTCTTTTTTTTTTTTTTTTTTTGTGACCAGTAAGGGATCGCAACCCTTGGCTTGGTGTCGTCCACACTGCGTTCAGCTAGTGAGCGCACTGGCCATCCCTATATAGGATACAAACCTGCGTTCAGAGCGCTGCACTCTCCTGATTGAGCCACAGGGTTGGCCCAGAGCATAAAACTTTTAAAAACAAACTTCCACTTCACGCTCAAGAGCTGGGGTCCATGACAGCCCCTCCATGACTGCGGTCACTGCCCTCTGTACCACTGCCCAGCACAAAGAAAGAGGCCAGGGGCTGGGCTGGATGCTGGGCTGAGTCTGCCCCTGGGAGCTCCCTCGCAGTCCCAAGAGCAGGTCCATGTCATGCAGGGACAGCCCTTCATGTCACATTAAACAGAAGAGGAGAGAATGAGGAATTTCAGATGGACTATTTTTTATTTGATATGAAGACATTGAACGTGGGCTCTACTCTATAAACACTGTAAGTGCACAAAACTGTATTGGTAATGGGGGGCACCCAGTGTTGTACCACAAATCTACACAACTTCTTCATCCTGTGCAACTGAATGTGATGCCTGCTGAACTTTAATTTAATGAGCCAGGCTGTGAGTGTGTGTGTGGCATCTGTGCACATTCATTTTGGCATAATTAATCATATGCTCTAAATGACATCAAAATATCAAAAATGTATGTTATGTGTTGTCTTCAGATTGAAAGAGAATGGTGGGGAGTGCACTGGAGTCTAACACACTAAGCATGTGTCACCTCTGTCTGCCTGTCTCTCTGTTTTTCTCTCTCTCTCTCTCTCTGACTCTTGCTGTTTCTCTCTCTACACAAATGCAGACACAGAGACACACACACACACACACACACACACACACTCTCTCTCTCTCTCTCTCTCCACTGGTCTTTATTGAAAATCTACCTGGAGCAATGCCTCTGATCGATGCTGAGCAACTCCTTGTAAAAGACAAAAATGTGATCTTTGCAGTCTTCTTATGAATGTTCTTCAAGAAGTCACAGTGTACAGGAAGAATCTCCCGATGTACAAAGTGAGCAGGACCACACTGTGTTGTGGGGATTTAGTGCATCGCACACTGTTTCTTGTATTATAATTATCCTGCTAGACTGATGTATATTCTGGATGCAAACTCACAATAGGATTGTTGTGTTTTGTGGATGGATCTATTGTAAAAAACTATTTTCAGAAAAACAATATTGAAAAACCACTAATCAGGAGTGTCATACCACTTAATAGAGAAAATATATTCATAGAACAGAAATTGTCTCAAAATGTCAGAAATGTTAGAAAAAATACTAGCAGACAAAATTTTAAATGTGTTTAAATAAATGAAACAGGATTAAGAACAATGATTATACCAGCAATAATAATAATACTTAGTAGTATTTATATATCTAATGAATCAATAAGCAAATGTAAATAAAAAATATACGATTACAATAAAATACAAAAAAAAGAGTAGCATTGGAAACCAGCAGAAGCAGGGAATGAGATGATTTTATGTCTTGGTTTTAGAAGCATTAAAGGAATGAAAGTTCGTAGCATCATGGGACTAAATTCCGGTTTCTAGTTTGTCTCCTTTGAAACACCAATGAGCATGAGGGGGAGAGAGAAAAGGGAAAAGTGAGAAGAGATCCAAGAATAGACCCATAAGCCAAAGAAGAAATGCGGGGAACAGGGGTCAAGAATGATCTTACAGGGCAAATTCTAATGCAGCAAACCACGCCAAGATGTGCCTGTGATCGTGTGAGGTTTAAATAGAATGAAGGGTGAAAGGAAAAGGCAAAATGGGAGCTTTCATTACAAAAGTGCAGTTTTTAGCAATATTTGCCTTGCATGGTTGTAAGTATTTGAATGTAAGATAGTTAGGAACACATTACCAGAAATCAACAATAAAAATACCTGCCAGAGCAATGATGAAATAAAAACATAGACTTTTCAAAGCTTTACTGAAGTTCAATTATGCCTAAAGACAATAATCTAAACTGCAAGGCTGTGGTACTTGGTCACAAATCAATCACCGTGCTGTACCTTGCTCAGCGTCTTCCTGTCAGACTTTCTAACATCGGATATTCCTATCCCAGCCTCCATCAGGTCTGTTCCAAATGTTCAGGCTCAGAGATATTTATTGGTGGACTCTGATCACAGGGGGCACCAGGAATGGTGGTTTTGACAGACTATTCGGCCCTTTCCCTGACGCTGTCTGACTCCAGCCACCCATTGGCTCATCCACCTCAGTGCTCTGAAGCTCGTGGGGCCTTCTGCACATCCTCTGACATACGATGTGTCAGTTGTGGGATGTGTCCAGGGGTCAGCAGCTGCCCTGTCCTCACAGATAATCTGTGTTCTCAGGAAAGCTACTTTATGGCTGCTGCTGATTCAAGTTAATATTACTTAAATGTTTCTATTAATCAGCTGTACAAAATATAGACAAATTGCTTACTATCTTAAATCAGCAGTTGTGGTGAAACTTTACAAAGACAGCCGAGGTTGTTTTTCACCATATGTACCCAGTCAACAAGAAAACCCTGGGGATTCTCTAAAGGTGGGACATGGCTGGTAAACAAGCCTCAAGGACTCCTTGGACATCTCCAGGTAGATTTTCATCAGCTTCCATTCTTCAGAAGACGTAAATATGTTTTATTTATTGTCTGCCTATTTTGATAATGTTCTCAAATCATTCTTTGGCAAAAATGTTACTCTATCAGTTGATAAAAAGCTGATTTATTTTGTGTTTCCACCTGACATATGACAACATTTATATAAAGTGAGCTTGTCCAAATTCTAAACACAAGAGCACACACACATATACACATAGAAAGTATGTTTTGGGAGTGGTACATGTCAAATGGATACTTTGCAAAAAAACTGGTGATGACATTCTTCACAGAAATGTAAAAAAAAAAATACTATCTTAAGAGTCATATGGAAAAACAAAAGACACTGAATAGTCAAAGCAATCCATAGCAATAAAAAATATAAAATAAAATAAAGCTGGAAGCATCATACTATCATATAAACACACAAACATGGAACAACAGAACAGAACAGAGAACCCAGAAATCAATCCACATACTTAAAGTCAACTGACCTTTCAAAAAGGCACTAAGAACATACATTGGGGAAATTCCAGTCTCCTAAAAAATAGTTCTGTGAAAATTGGACATCCATGTGCAGAAGAATCAAACTAGATCTGCACCTCTCACCATATACCTAAATCAACTCAAAATGGATTAGACACTTAAATATACTACCCCGAAGTATAAAACTACTAAAAGAGAACATAGGGAAACACATAAGGATGTTGTACTTGGCAAATATTTAATGACAAACTTTTATGACGTCTAGACTTAACAAATTTTTGGCTTAACACTGTGTTTGGCAAAGGATTAAATGTATATTGACTTAAAATATTTTCAACATACAATGGGTTTATTGAGACACGACTCCATGATAAGTTGAGGAATAACTGTACAGATGAAACTCAGTTATGACAAGGCAAATTTTAGTGAAGATGTATGTAATGACTTTGGGGTAATTAACACAAACTATGTCAATGTAGTTAATGTGGACATTGACATCAGTCTCTAGTGATCTCATATGACAAACAGGACCAACTTTATTGGTGCATTTTTATTGTTCCCATTAGGGACTTCTGTCCATGTGGACACGTGACATAGTTCCACTCATGGAGGCAGGAGAGATGGTCTGCTGGGGCTTTCCTGATTCTTCAGGAGGGCATTTCAGAAGAATCATCTCCTTTCTTGCATAAAAGAAGGTATCTTCATATCTCTGTGTGACTCTTTGGAAAGTCATTCATGTCCACAAATCATAAATGT